AGATTGAGGTTGTAGACAACATACTGTATATTCTGTATGTTTTAATTAGGGTTGTCCCGATCCAGTTGTTTTTGGCCCAAAACGGATCAGATTCCTTTACTGTTAGGTATCTATGGTACATCTTGTCACTGAGTGTCTTCCTCTTTATTTACTGCTTGTTGTAGATAAACCCACTCCACCCATAGTCCCATTAGGAAGAAAAACAAAGGTGCAGTTTGATACTCCCCTAAAGACAACAACAGGTATGAGTCTGGCTCAGAAAAACTGGTAAAACCTGTCCATACCAGGATGTAACTACAGACAAGTTAAACAGGTATCCTGTTTTCTTATATGGGGAATTTTAAGTGTACTCGTTTAAAGACCATCAGCTGATTTAATCCAGCAGTCAAGAAATTAATTTAATTTTGTTGACTTTCATCTTCTTGCAGTTCTCCCCTTTAAAGAAGTTAAAGTTATCACCACAACAGGCTGAAGGCCTTTCTTCATTGCAGATTTCCTCTTCTTGTTCACTGACTTTAGTGAAACTCTAGGTCATTGGCTGTTGCTTGTTTCTGTTAAACAATGCTCTAATCATCTGTAAAGTAAATTAGGTTGTAGACTTGACAAACACCAGAAAATGGCTGCTGACACTGACGCTGTGGGGCTGGCTTTGTGACGCTTAGTTTCAGATAAACATGTTTATCTGCATCTAGACACATTGTTACACCTTTTACGGTATTTGGTTGTCTGATTTGTGTAACCTCACACTGTTGGTATGAGCCAGGGTGTGTTATTACGTAGAGCCTGGTTAAAAAGCTACTTTTGCTTTGTATGAAAACAGAACAGAGATCAGAGAGCTGACGATACTGTGTCCTGCTGATCTGCCAGAAGAATGAGTTTAAACTCGACCACGTTGCCGTACGGCAGCAGGGGTCTTTATTTTTCATACCTGAGAGCCTGTTGGATGTGTTTGATTTATAACACAGCCGTGCCTGAATGTAGCTGTGTGTATGTGTTAAATACATACATTTGTTTGAAATACACACAAGTCGCTGCATGTTTGTGGGCCCGTCTCTCTCTTTTTATCCTGGGAGGTCACTGGGTATGTTTGATTTATAGCCCGGCTCCTCCTGGCTGTGTTTTCACATGGGTCCAATACCACCCCGCCCATCCCCCGGTGTGGAAAGACACATGCACTCGGACCTTCAGCAGGCTCAGTTCAACTTGAATTAACTGCTCTGCTGAAACATTTTAGATTTTTATCAATACTTTCATTCACTCAACAATTAAAATACACTATCGCACCAATCATTTTTTTCTCGCTGATATTATTGTTGAACTATCACTTTACAAATGTCGTCAGTTTTCAGCAAACCTTCCAAAAATACTACTTTTAGTGTGGAAATATGAAATTACTGTACTTCAAACCTTGTTTACCTTGAGTGTCATACACAGTAACTTTGTTGGACTTTGTAACAAAGCATTCCCCTTTCAGACACTCCTCTCCATTAATCTGGTGGCATCTGATGGTGTTGGCTTCATGTCTGAATGAGCATCCTGGTCACGTTTCTGTAAAAGTCACAACAATAATCTTTTGAGGTCGGTCCTAGTAACATTTACGTATCACTTTGGGCTCATTAACGGATAGGAACACACAAGATTCCCACGTACTGATGTAGGACATTGTTACATGCAGTGGGCCTACCAATCACAGTTTAAGAGCTGGCCAAACTGGCCTGACCCAGAGAGACTGACCACATACTCCAAATCTAAATGGCTACTTTCCCCCCCCAAACAGATATCAAAACTTCATAAAGTGGTGTAATACCAGACCTACAGGGTGTGTCGAGGAGAGCCATGAGTTGGACAGCAGTGACAGCTGGAGACAGTACTATAATCCTACAGAAGGAAACAAAGGTGATCATAAATTATACCAAGAAGAAGCCCAAGCGGGCCCATGAACCAGACTTTAGCAGCAGCAATAATGCATTTAAGGAAAGGAGGAACTTATCTGTCAATAAGGGAAGTTAGTAAACACATCCCTACAAAAAAGGAGATGTGTGAGTCTGTGGGGGGGTGACATCAGCTGACTTTATTGAAAAGGAAATATAATGGCTTCATGCATAAAGTAAAGATATGATTGATCAGTAATAATGTTTAGTCAGGTGTTAAAGTAATTTTGTATTCAAAATAATATAGTGATCTATCTATTCAATGTATTGACAGTTTTTGTATAACAGTGTTTAATTGTTGTGGTTTACTTAGATGTTCTGATGGGATTTTTGTATTTTAATCACATATGAGATTCTAGCATTTTTATCAAAAGAGAAGTGATAATGCTGACACAGTGGATAGAGGCCAGTTACAGGAAGTCTACTGTTCATCATCAGCCTCGGCAAAAATGAGAAGCTCCAACAGGCTGAAAGGTGTTTGTTTGTTCACCTCCTGTTGGTGACTGCTGTTCAATAATCTCCTGTAGAAATGTGTGTTGCTGTCCCTCTGCTTTGCAATCTGTTTCTCTCTTCATTTCCTCCCTGTCTGTGTTTTAGTTTGGTGTGTATTCACTTTATTAAACAAGCCTCATGTCACACAGCTGACATTTCCACTCCTCCTCCTCCTGCTTTAGTTTTTCCTTTTGTCTTCTTTAATTTTTCAGTCTATTTGTCTTTCTCAAATTATTTATCCTGCTCAAATTCTTTCTCTGTTTATTCTCCCATCATCCCTTGAGAGTCACTTTGACAGAAAAAATAAAGTTGTCTATATTGTGACTGAGATGGATTTTCTTTCTGCGAAAACGTTCAAGCCTCTGCAGCTCGACTTTTAAAGGGAAGAACTGAACCCAAAGGCTGAGCAGGTTTCTCAGAGTCTCATCTGGATGTTTTTCACAGCCTGATGTTTCACTGGAGATTTTTATTCGCTTCAAGAGTCATTTTAGTGAAGTGAAGTCAAACTTGATCAGCTAAATGTTTCTCACACAAGGAAACTTGATGTGCTTTGAGTTTTCAGACCATTAAAAAGCAGTTACAGCTTGGATTGAAGTGGTTGTCTCAACTAATTCATTTTCTGGCTCAAAGGCACTTTGGCAGTAAACACTGGAGTCATGTGGGAGCTGAGCCTGTGACCTCTCTAGTACCATTCAACAATGTGGTCTGTTTGACACTCTGCCACCCCAGTGGGAGAAAAACATGTGGGAAAGTGTTTTAAAATAGTTAGGGCTGGAGATGAAAATGTGGGTTTGAACGTGGAGGTTGCTGATGTTGTTAGAATGATGTTTTTGGGTGGATGAGGTGTTGTTTCAGTGGTGCTGTGACCCAGCAACTGTCAGCTGTGTGTTTGAACAACATCATGGTCATTAGCTGGGCTGCAGAGAGTGAGAGACACCAGATATTTCCCATAAATCATTGGGGTTTGGTCTGATGTGAAATCGAGCTGTTATCAGATGGGAGAGTTTTCCAAAATCAGACCTGGACAGAGTCATTAACACGTCACGCTGACCCGTATCCAGTGCTGTTAGTCAGCAGTTTGCTTTGTCCCCATCGGAGACTTAAGGATGATGAAAATATCAGACAGTCGGTTTGTTCAACCCTGTGGTCAGATGAGTTATCTAGACACGTCCTGGCCCAATATACATGATGTTAGTGGTCCAGTGACTGTACTGCCCCTGACCTTGTCTCTAGTGCCGCCAATGGGTCAAAATGCCATTCTGTAAACAAGAAAATGATCAAAATCTAATTTTCAAGATCCTACACTTGACGCTGCTGCACTTTGTGTCTATCTTCATAAGATAATAGTACAATCTTAGAGCTGCTAGCAGAGAAAATGTCTTGTAAACTAGTGATTTGCCATGTTTTCACTTTTTAACTATCATTTTTTTCATTCTTCTGAGGTTTGTCGTAGCTGATAATAATAGTAATTGTGTAATACCGTGAAACCATGACATTTTCTGAGACAGTTATCATACCGTGAAAATCTTAAACCATCGCAGCCCTATCAGGAATCATGACCAGATTCAGACATCTAACATTTGTGACCAGAGTTTGAAAAGTTTAAATATTACACAAGTATGCTTCAATAAAAAAAAAAAAAAGGTTAAGCCCAGTTTGGGAGAAAACAGTACATTTTGTGTGTCATTTTAATGATCTTCCAGTCTCCCACCTGGTGTTTGGCACCGCCACGTTCAGTCCAGGACGTAAACCACAAAACAGTTTCCAGTGTTATGATGAGTTAACCTTTTTTTTTTTCTCTAACTTACACACCGTGTTGAAATCCAGGCACTTAAAATGTTTTTTTAAATTTTAGTCTTGGAAGCATGAGTTGAGCATCACATCCAGAATCTGATCTGGATGGACATCACGATGTGCCATAATAGCCATAAGATAATAACGGCAGCAAAACCTTATTTGTGTCTTTTCACATAAGCTGTCTGTGTCTGTCTTTTCTTGTAGGTCCTGTATATTCTACAGAGCATGTATGGATATCCCCAGAGGGACAGAGCTGCTGGTTTGGTACAACGACTCCTACACTTCCTTCTTCGGCATCCCGCTGCAGTGCATCGCTCAGGATGAAAACTGTGAGAAAACACTGCTGGTTTCTTTTTTCTTATCTCTCTGCCTTCTCTGTTGTGGAGTTCTTGTGTTTATGCTGAATATCGGTTTCACACTGGCAGCTCTAGAAATAAGCCTTGAATTTAGGGATTCACATCAACTGTAGTAGTGTTACAGTTTCTCTTCTAAAACGCCATCAGGTCACACATTCAACCCATTTATCAGCCTCATAATATGCCTGGCCTCTGAGTAAGAATGTGAAACGGTTATTTAGGAAGAGGTGTTTGTAAACTTCGTCCACATCACAGCTGAAGTTTCCCAGACTCTGGTTTCTGCCCCAGCGCCTTGCTGTAGATCTGTTTCAGCAAAAGTGTGAACAAACCAGATCAGGTGTTTTCAGATCACTTACACCTCTGGATGTGAAGCGTCAACACAAAAAGATCAGATCTGACTGAAACCTCAGAGCTGGGCATTAAGACCTGAGCCAAGTGTCGGAGAACGTCTCCTCCAACTGGAAGGTTACGGGTTCAGTTCCTTGAGCTGCCTGTTAAAGACGCCTGATAAAACCATCAGCTAAATGTGACTCTTAACGTCTAAATGCTCCGAACATAAGCCAAACCACTGTGTTCTACAAGCGTCTGTCTGCAGGAGGAAAAACAGCAGTTTACTTTGGAAGTCGTCTTAATTTCATTACAGGCAGTATTTAAACCGTGTGACTGAGAGAAAGCCTTTGGCTCGCCACAATAACACAGTGCAGTGAACAGTTTTTTTTTCAAAACTTTCTGCTGTCTGATTTATTTGTCTGACGAGTCGAGCCAGCCAGAACACGATGGGAAGAAATCTTGTAGTTTGCTAGAATGTAGGCACGCTGTGGCCTAGTGTCAACACTCTGCCCCGCTCTCGCTGCCTCGCTCCGTTTTTCCTATGAAAAGAAAAGAGGTTTCTATCATAACGTATCATCGTCGTCCTCTTGTGTACACAGAAATATCCACATGTATCAGCCTCTGTCTTTAATCCAGGGCTGTTCATCTTAGGTCAACATATTTCTGCAGATTTATGAAAGCCTCATGACTCCAATTTGGCAGCGTGGGTGTTTTAACTGGGATGTGCACATGGTTCCCCTTTGGGCTGACAATTTTCAGGCTATGTTACAAAATCAAATGACTTATTTTGAATGAATATATTACTTTTCTGACAAGAGTTAAAAGAAGACTCCTGGAGATAAAGGAGAAATCTGAGTTGTAGCTTAACGTTTTAAGCTTTGTGTAAATCTCTGGGTTTCTCTTCCAGTTACTGTCTTTAGCTGAGAACAGACTAGGGCACATCTGCTGCTCGCTAAAAGGTATTCCTGTCTCATTCCTGATTTTACAAATGTCAGGTCTTAAGGGTCAGAAAATCTCAAATCTGAACTTGTGGTCTTATAATATAAACACTAAGGTGGTTCTTAATTTTTGTCAGAATTAGTAAAAAAAAATCAGTAAAACAAGTTTTATATAACCAGTGACAGCCACATGTGACTTTGTTACATTCAGCTGGTAGGTTAAAACAAGGTCTAGTTTATGAAACAAATGATCCCCGATGAAGCCTCGAATTCTTTATACTTCTTTCTTAAAATTATTATGAGCCGTGTGGTCCCCTCAGAGGTGACAGCTCCCGCTGAAACCATGGGCCTGTGAGCGAGATAGCACGTTAAGAACGGCAGTGAGAAACAGATTTTTCTCATCTTTTTCCTCTCCGTTACTCTCAGCCTGCTTTTTTCGTCTTTCTGTTCTTCATTGCTCTCTCTCTTTTATCCATCCTCTTTTTCTGTCACTAATTTATTTTTGTTTACATCTCTTCCAGTTTTCTGCTCAGTCAGTCTGTTCGTATCATTTTTGTTCAAACTGATTTTCTGTGGATTTGACAGAGTAAATCCCTCCAGTGGGGTAAAAACAGACATTTTTTTCTTCCTTACAATTATGGAGCAAAAAACAAAACATGAAGAAGGAGCTTTAATCTGGGGAATCTTAATTGAAATAAATTTAATTAGGAGCTTGTCGTCCACAGAGTCGCTGTGAAATGTGATTGTGCTGATTGCAAATTAGAGACTTTTGCCGCAAGCTGGTTTGTTTTACAGATGGAATGAGTCCTTTACATGACATTGCTCACTGTGGCAGTTTCTGCACACGCTCCATTGGATTGCTATGTTTATGAGGCCCTGTTTTTGCCAATACAGCACATAACATTACAAACCTCATTTTCAGGAAAAAGTTGAATAATCTGTTTTTAACCGTATTAGTGCTGTCATGTCCGTCGCTTAATTTAGTCCAAAAAAATAAAACCCGAGACATAAGACCTGGTACAGACATTTGTTGTCCTCAGAGGATGAATCCTAATGATGTTTGGCTTTTCACCTGGTGACACTAGCAGGTAAAAATCTCCACTCTGGTTCATTACGGATACCTTTGTGGAAGTAAATTCTGTCAGACTCAGCTGTGATAATTAAAATAAAAGTGGGAAATGTTCCAAACATTTTTAGTTTTTATACCACATGACCTAAGCAAATACAGTCGTGGCCACTTTATTAGCTACACCCATACAATTGTATGCACTTAATATCTGTGTTTATGAAGCTCAAAATGTTTCAGGTTTTGGTTGTGTTGTCATGAATGTATAAGTTCAATTATGTGTTTATTATTGAGGCCATAGTTAAAGGTGGTGTTGCACTGGGCTACATTAAGTTCAGAGGTGTTCCTAATATTTTGACCCTCTCATGTATGTAGTCAGCAAGGACAAAAATATAGAGTGCATACAGTTGTACAGGTGTACCTAATAAAGTGGCTGGGGAGTGTCTGTGGAGATGAGTAGTGTGGATTGCTGTCAGAGACCCACAGTCTGACATGTATATAAATCATTAGCTCTCTTTATGCTTCACTTCCTGTGACCAGCCATTTATTTATCCATTACACAACCAGTTTTAGCTGTGCACAGCCCTTTCCTTTGGGGTGGGTCTACTAGCTTGACATAGATGACTATGCTGTCATTCCCCCCCATCTGAAGATGTAAGATGGACATCACAAGATGATTTAAGCTGTCTCTGTCCACGTGAAAACTTATCATCTTCAAGTGCACAGAAGTACAAAAACAGATGTGTAGAACACACAGATGCATTGTGTGCTAGCACACACTGGCAGACAGCAAACAACAACTTTTGTTCCACCCTGCAGTGAAAAGTTTGTTCACATCCAGATGAAGTGAAATTACGCCTCTTTGTACAAACTGAAGGAGCAGCTCTGTTCCACATTAGACGTTTTGCTACCAACTGCATTTGGGTTTTCTGCTCATTGTGAGCGTGACGTCAACACTGTGACTTTGTGTCCTCAGCGGAACAGACGTTTAAAGTTTGGATCTTTGTGTAGAGAACGAAAATAAAACCTATGGTAAAGGAATAAATGTTCTACAGAAACAGAAAAGTCCTGGGGGTGTAAATCCGCCATCCACCTAATCAATCTGTCAGTTTGCTTTATTGTCACAGAGAAAATTAAAAAGACTGAAAATGATGAAAAATTATAGTGCAGAATACTTCAGCCATCGTTACAGATTTTACTTGGACACGGAGTTGGCCACACACATTTATTGTTACACGTGAAGTGCAGTGAGACATTAACATTCAAGGTTAAAGAAAAGCATGTTTAGATTGAAAACACAGGAGATAAAACATGGTCGGGTTGTATTTTTGGTTTGTCTGCTGTTGGCCACCATGATGCTCCACTGGGCCAGTCTGTAATAAAGTAGATAAAGGTGCAGTAACTAAGATTTAACACAAATTCAGATAAATCAAGTAAAAAAATGTTTAAAGTGTTTTCTTTCTCCCTGCTGTTCCCCCCCCCCAAACTAATACAAATAATAAGCCTTTACTGGAATTGAGAAGAATTATAGATACTGTAGCTTTAAATCTAACACAAATGTAATGAATGGTACAAACTGTAGTGCACAACAGCAACAGGAGATCAGATATAAAATGTTAGATGAGGAAACAAGTTCATTAAAAATAAAGAAACTGTAGCTGGAGTCTATAACTGGGACTGTAGGGGTTCATTCAGTTAAGTGACACACACACACACACACACTGTCAGATGAACACAGCCTTAAACACACTTTCCTCCATACACTTGTTCACATACGCACATAAAAAACCTGGTACACACATTAAAGAGAAGGAGATCACATTAGAGCCAAACCACACACCAGTATGCAACCACGAGAACACACACAACATTATCAGAGTACATAGAGCCTGTGGTTGTTTACTCATGCATGTTCCATCCAATCACGGGCTGTCGGGTTGATGCTCCGCAGCCCCGGCTGCTGCCTAACAACAGCAACATGTGCATCAACAGTGAAATGTCCTCATAGCCCTCCTCTTTGTCCTTCAACTCTCTTCTTCATGTTCTAGTCTTTGTCTCAGTTGACTCCTCCTGTGTAACAGCTTTTTTCCTCGTCCTCCTGGAAATGAGGAGTGTGAGTCAGGAATAGAGGGATGAGGAGGAGAGGAAGGAGAGGAAGTGTTGTGTGAAAGAAAGAGAGAAGAAGGGAGGAGCGAGGAGGTTTCCCATGTTGTCCTCTGCAGTAAATCCCTCTGTACTTCATACTGACACCTCTTCTTTATTTGACATATTATTATTACCATTATTATTATTGCCTCTATTGATTTGATAAGACTTTATAATCACTGCTAATGTTACCATCATCAGGTTTGGCAACGTAATCTGAACTGTACTTCACAGCAGTAAAGAGAAGAGGACAGAGACGACACAAACAGGGGACTCACTGTAGTCAAACGTTTTCCTATTTTATTGATATCAACATAACAATACACCTATAAATATAAATACAACATGGATGGATTTACAAGGCAGTCAGTTTGTTCTTACTTTGAGCAAACATGCCACAGAGCTCCACTGTGTCCAGACACCGTTAAAACCCTGTGACCTGCCCTAGTAACTCACCAGTAAGTAGTGTAAGAGTCTCTTTTTCTTTCCACATTTAGTGCTTGTTATTCACTCGGGTACCTTGGGTTGTCCCAGGCCTGTCCTAGTAACTTGTATGTTGTGTTATATTCTAACTATAACAGTAATCCTTGTATCTACTTACTTATCAGTCTTTATCAGCAGACAACACGTTATTTGTTTGGGTCTTTACGTTAGATTTGTTGATAGGAAAAACAATGTGCCAGCCTTGATTAAAACAGTATTTTATAAATATACAATACGATTTTGTCAGCACATAAATAAAATGACCAAACGATGCATTTCAATCCAGTGTGCAACATACACATGTATCACTAAGTCACTGTTGTCTCTGCCTCCACATAGTGAATTCATCATTTGAGTTGTGCTGAAGTTTCTGATGATTCCTCTGATTTTGAAATAGTCGTTCATGCTTTTCATTTGAGATGCGCAGATGTTTTTCAGGTGGTTTGTGGGTCAGTTTTGTTTTCGGTGAAGCTGTTAGACTTTATTCAGCACGTTGAAGAATGTATTGTGCATACTGTCAAGCTGACAGAGAAAGATATTAAACAGGAAATAAAATGCTGGTAGGACCTGTCACATGGTCCTCGTACCGAAGAAGAGGAGGGGGAGTGTTAAAATGAGACTGGGCCTGATGCAGAGAAGGGGTGGTATTCCTCCCACATCCTCTAAAGTGTCCAACTCCTGTAGGCTTGGAAAGTTGATGTAAAAACTTTGTATTTAGCTCCATCTTAGAGATCGGACTCTGTGGCCAGTTGGTATTCATGTCACACCCCTGATGAAGAAAGAAAGAACAGACTCTGCAGTGTTGCAAACTGCATCTGCATAATTCTCCCATTTCGATGATGCATTTCATGCTCAGCCCAAACTGTATTGACTTGCATTTTTAGTATATGAGATGTTTGTAGCAAAATGAATTAAGTGTGGGCAAGCAGCACGTAACGTGGGCGTCGATAGCGCAGTCGGCAACTTACAAATGGTGTAATTATCTCCTCATAAGATTATTAGAGGATCAATGGAGCCTGTTGGCCTGATGGCAGAGGTGAGCTGATGAAGGATGGAAAGTGATTATGATAACCAGACTGCAGAGGTGCAGCCCGACCATGTTAGACTGAGGCTCTTTATTTATGCACTGAGAAAAGACTAAAATAAACAAAGAAACAAACACAAGCTACTGAAGTAATAAGAACAGCGTGGTCTTCTGGGAGTAGTGTTTGGCATGTTCTTAAATGCAAGAGACGCTAAATGGGCAGGATTTGAGTAATAATAGACATAGCAGAGGTAGTATTGGCAGTAATGACCTTATAGTTGTAGCAGTGTTGTAAGTATTGTTATAGTATTAGTTTTCATCTGAGATGGAGTACAGTATTGGGGTACAGTATTAGAGTACAGTATTGGGGTACAGTATTAGAGGTAGCAGTTATTAGTAGTAGCAGCATTAACCCTAGTTCTACCATTACTGAGTTGTAGTAATGGTAAAAGCTGTACTGGTTTTGTTGAAGTAAATGAAAACTTACCAGGACTGTCATCTCGTGGTAACCCCCCTAAAACAGGCTGGGGGCCCAGTTTGGGCCATGAACCACAGTTTGAGGAACATCAGGTTCAGGTTACTTTTATTGATACCCAAAGGTAGATTCATTTTGCATCAGTGTGATGCAGAGTGACATCGCTCAACAAACAAACAAATAACATGCAACATATATTAACCATAAAACCCTAAAACATCAAACATTCTTAAGAGGGCTTTGTGGTCATTTCTGCGGTCAGTGAGAGCAGAGCAGTAACCGCTGCAGCTGTACTAACGAGCAGACTCCAAACAGCCTAACTAAACCCACAGTTCCATTCGCCGGAGCCAGGAGCCGCAGTTTGCCCTGGGCCAGCCAGGAGGATCTGGTCTCAGTCAGGATGGTGTGTTCCTGGCTTTGTTTTGATCACAACGGCAAAACCATCAGAGTCGGTTTTATTCCTCAAGCATGGCACAAGAATTTGTCCTGGCGGCAGGTTTTCACTTGTCATTTGTTTTCTGTCTCCAGTAAACGTCCCAGCCACAGTGGTGGAGGCCATGACCAGGCAGGAGTCCCTGCAGTCCTTCAGCAAAAACGGAAAACCCTCCTCCTCCTCATCTTCGTCCTCCTCTACCCCGTCCGCCACCCTCATGCGATCCATGGTCTTCCCCCACTCCCCTTGCTCAAGGAGTTTCTCCCTGCTGGACAAGGTCGGGGTTCAGTCGGACTCTGGTTTTGGCCAGTTGGGACCAAAGAACCAGCGAGTCCTGGCGAGCCCGACCTCCACCAGCCAGCTGAGCAGCGAGTTCAGTGACTGGCACCTGTGGAAGTGCGGCCAGTGCTTCAAGACCTTCACCCAGAGGATCCTGCTCCAGATGCACGTTTGTCCGCAGAATCCTGACAGGTAAGACGGCATCTATGAAGGCGCTTACTCTTTGGTTTCGAGTCTAGGAGTCTTTACTAACTCCTTGGAATGGAATGGAACTGTTTCTAAACAGCTCAAGCATATGTGTTGTAGTCATGAGTCCAAAGCCCAGTATAATTAATGTTTAACGTTCGGGCCCTGAGGTGCAAATGCTGGGGTCCAACACATTCCGACTGTACTGCAAAGCTTTTTGGGAAGCTGGAAGTAAATTTATTCTTTGAGCTTTAAAGTAGTGATTATATCAAAAATGTTAATAGTGAGACAGCGTTATGGAGAAACCTAATGTCAGCATTGATCGCCAATGTTAAAGACCTGAGATGCCTGAATGGAATATTTTAAATTAATTTCTCCAGCCCAGTCAGATACTTCCTGTAACTGGTGACGACTTAAAACAAAAAGGATAATCCTTTTGCATTTAGAATAGTCTTGTCAGAAATATAGATTTTTTGATGCATATCAATTCTGAACATTTGGGAAAGTTTCACTACTCATTTCCGTAGTACACACCACTGCCACGCCCAGAGTCCTGCCTCTCACTCACTCTGCGTTTTGTGTGTTTTGCTATGGTGAAGCTCATTACACATAAGTGCAGAACCTCGTTGACCAGTTTTGATTGACAAAGAAAATGGCACTGCTGTTTGGTGATGCTACAGAGCAGTGCTAACGATGATGTGGTGATCAGCTGTAGGTAGCTAGCAGGGCACAGGGTGGCCAGCCACGAGTGACGTGTTGATGTGTTCACTGGTGCTGGTGGACATATAAACCAACATAAAGCAGGAGGAGCTCAGTGAACAGTCAGTACGCTCTGGAGTCGGTTCAACACTTGTGTGGAGAACATCTATTTTCTTATTGTTTTAGTGGGCATTTGAGGACTGGAAGTCGTACCTCGTCATGTTAGAGCCGTGTTATACTTTTGAATAAAATGTAAAACTTTATGCCCTCAATCGGGCGTCTGTTTTTACCTGTGGTATTGAAAATTCCATTGAATATGGATATTTTTCAAGGTATTGCATTGAAGTTAGAAATTCCAGTATTGTGACAACCTAACAGAGAAGCAATAATGACACTCGCCCAGCATCGGTCTCTGTATTGTAATGTAGCCAGGATACAGCTGGACAGGTTTCATTTTTTTAAGTAAAAAGAGGAAAATACAACCCCTGCAGCAAATGAGAATTCACTTTTTTATAGCAGGAGCTTAAAATAATTATCAGTACTTATGGCGTGTACAAACGTGTAGGCACTCTTATACTTGTCACTGACTCGTTAGGTCAAGAACTGCCTTTAGGAACTTATGTATCTAACTGTACTTTGTACAGATGAAGTATTACCCTTGAGAACATGACATGGCATCACTTTTTTCCTCTGGAAAAAGTATTGCTGCAGTTTTTCCAAAGAAGCCGACAAACCAGACATTTACTTGTAATTTATGATGTTGGTTGTCTCATCATCACGCCATTTGTGTGTCAGAACAGGGGGGTTTGTGGATGAGAGTGAAGAGATTGTAAAAGTGTTTGATTGTGGACAACATCTGCCAGCTCAATTATATACAGCATGCACGGAGAAGGAGGGAAGATGAGTGTGTGTTTGTGTGTGTGTTGGGGGATGGAGGATGTATTGGAAATTTTTTGCTTAGCTTTATTTTTTGCAGGGAGAGTCAGAGCAGCGTATAAATCAGCGCTGTGCGTCAGTGAGAAATACCTCGCCTTACGGTGACGGGGCCAGGAAAACAGATGCCACTTATTCAATAAACTAATACTCATAGGGAAGAAAAATGTGGGCTGGATATGGAGGGGGGAGGGCGGGTCGATGTGGAGCTGCCTGTCAATAAGAAGGTTTTATGGGACAGAGGGGCTGATAAAATTGAGCTGAACAAGCCAAACAGAACAGTCCTGGAGTTCCAAGGCCCCACATTAACTCACACTTATGTGAACTGGGTTAGGACCAGTATGACCATTACAGTATCACCTTGCTCATATCAAAAGTCAGAGTCCCTCTTTTCAAACTCGCCTCCTCTAGACCAACCCAGACAGTGTGTCTTCAAGGACTTCCACCTGAGTGGTGATGATTATTGAGCCCAAGAGCATCTGACTCAAACCTCATGGTGTCAGTTAAAGCATCAGATGCTTTTTGTGTTGGTAGTGTACACAGAACGCTACAGGTCGACATTTTGTCTGAAAACCATGGAAATTTACACCTAACAGGGAAAAGGATGATAGAAAGTTTTAGAAGGGGGGCATTAGTGTTTCTAAAAAATCAAGTCCATAGATGACAGGTCCACTTGTGGTTCTTGTGCTCGTTGAAAAGGTCAGGTGGTCCTGAAGGGGGTTCTAGGAGTCCGGATGTTTTGTACTCAGTGTGGAGAGTTTATAGGTTTTAATTTTGTTCTTGTGGTCATAGAGGAGGTTCTTCAAGTCCTGTATGAGGTTCTAATCATCGTTCAGGAGGTTCTAGGAGCCATTTAGGTGGTTATAGTCTTTTTAAGGTGGTTGAATACCTATGGGAACATTTGGAGCAATGTGTTAGACAGCGCTCTTCACCACCATCGTCAAAACCCCAAATGAGGAAATATATTTTTGGAGTAATGGTGTTTAAACCTCTAGTAGTTCCTAGACTTGTAGAAGCTATTGGACCGGAGGAACTCTATCAGAGTTCTTAGAAATGTTAGACAAAGTGCCCCCTTTTTTGTGTGTCTGCACCACATGAACTGAGAACGATAATAGTTAATAGAATGTCGTTTTGAGTGACTTTATATCTCCTACTTTAGGCTGGGTATTCTCCCAGCACAATAGGAACCATAAGTGACGTACATGTAAGTTGAGTAAAGCAACGTTGCAATTTCTAAAAGCCGCGTTAGCCATGTAAACACTAGTGATCAATTGCTAGTGGCACTGGGAGCTGCACTCCCATCAGCGTAAGCCTAATGGCTGCTTCTTTAATTTACTTAGCAACATATAAACAAAATGCCGGTAATGTAACGCTGCTATGTGTTAACCATTGTGAGCGTGTTGGCTAATCGCTAACAGTCACTTCCTACTGGCAGTGCAAATGCAAACAGGAAAAAAAGCCTGTGAAGTTCTTTGGTTTAGTCCCTAGAACAAAGTCCCTAGAGCTGTTGGTTCTGAAAGCGCGTTATGGCATCAAGCTGTGAAGCTGTTTTGGAGACTTGATTTCAGACACAGCAGCAGCATCTGTCTCGTCTTTGAAGAGGCAGTTTTCTGTCCTTCATATGTTAAAAAACTGCGATTGCTCTGTGAATAAAGGTACCTTACTTTTTTCACCATTGACCCCTCTTGCAATCCCTCCTTGACTCTGCCTTGCTCCCTCTCTGATCTCCCTTCATACATATTTATTGATGTTTACTTGATGGGAACATTTGGGGCTGAAGACTGATGGCTTGTTATATCAGCTTGAAAAAAGCACACCACACACCTCCTTTCAGCTCCATCTTTTTCAGGTTTGTTTTTGTCTTTTTCTGAACTTTTCCTTCTTCTGTGTCATTTTCCCCCCATGTGTGTCATTTCAACAAAATCCATCATCAGAGGAGCAGTTTGTTTATGTCACTGAGGCCTTGGAAGTGCTTTAGATTCAGCTTTAAACTGGTGTCAGGATGCAGGGTCCTGTTTAAGTTTAGTGATGTGGTGATTGATGAATCAGGGGGAAAACCTGAACATGAATGGAGTGTGTTTCTGCTTATAGGTCTGACATATTACAAAAGCAACACAGTGCAAACCACAAAAATGAGCTGAATTAATAACCACTGGTTTTATGATTGATGTGTTTACTGCACCGGTGTTTAAAAGAGTCATTAGTGCTTTTAGGGAAATGGGATATCTTTGCTAAGAACTTTGATCTTCAGTGTCTGCAGTTCAGGTCTCATTCTGGAGGTTCATGTTGTTTATGAATACACTATGCATGTGTATATGGGTATAATCATGTATGTATATCAAAGCACAGAGAGTTTACAGCTGATTGAAAGTGTGTGTCATCACAGAGTCGGCTCTACAGAGGAATTACACGCTAATTGTTTGCTTCTGTTATCTAGCAATGCTTCATCAGCGATTTGGCGTCAGCTCACGGTTCTTCACTTTTTCTAGTGACAGTTAAACATTTAAAATTCCCCATTACTCATGTTAAGGCTACAGAAAAAATTAAGAACTCAGCAAAAGGTTTTCCTGTGTATGAACCTGACGGAGCTTTTGGTTTTGATGTTTCCAGCATTAATACGGTAATAATGTTGGATTCATTTGGTCAGTAATTTTCTCACGTAACGCAGATTAGAACAATCTGAACAGTTTTTCTGTTTGGTGTATCTTGTGCTCTTATCCAGTGTAACAACAGGTAAAGCAGCTTCATTTGACAGTACTGCTCAAAGGTTTTACAACAATTTGTCCAGTTTTTATTGACGTGAGCAACTCAAGTCCAGTGAATAACCTTAAATGGTACACGGCTAAGAACGGACAGATGGGGGAAAAAGTCACCAAAAACTCAAACTGTGTGTAAATGTCACATGGAACAGGCCTTTTTTCAGGATCCAGTAGCAGGTGAACTTCCATCTTTTCTGCAGCAGTGAAGTAAATGAAGCCTAGATAACTGATGCCAACGGTTCCTACAGGCCCCGACTGTTGTTGGAAACTGACGACTACAGATTCTCTCTGTCCAGAGGCAGTGTCGGAACAGACTGCGTTACTGCCTCCTCTGAAACATCATCTGGAAAAGGCCATGAACACAGGGAGCCAGAGCTTCTCAGGGTTTCACCCTGTAGCAGGAGAGGCAGACACAAACGGCTCCAGGCTGTGGACGACGACAGAACAGTGACGGACTGGCAGCACAGGGTCCAGACTTTCCAGGTGAAGAGTGAAAGCAGAGCAGCCCAGGTGCACAATCTGTGGAACATCTGCAGCAGGGCTATCTGTCCCAACAGTGTCTGATTTCAGTTGTAGAAAGAATGACACAGGTGTGTTCACCTGTTGGATTGCACT